TTCCACTGCAGCATCGCATCTTTATCAACACAAAAGCTCATTCTGCGAGGGGTGTGCGATATTGACAAAAAATATCTGTTTTCTGGGATTTTATCGATGATGATGATTAGACGATATTTTGCTGAGTGTGTTATTGTACTGGTATCTAAAGGACTACCATAGACAGCTGACTCCTAAAGTTTTTGAAATTCTTCATTAGGGCTGCACGATATTGGGGGAAAAAACTCACATTGCGATATTATTTTTTATCTGCGATATGGAAAAAAAAAAAATCACCAGATGACTATTTGAAGAAAAATAATAATTGGTGTGATTTTTGTAGGTGAGTAAATCAGCATAGAAAATAAACAAATTACAAACATAGATAAATATAATAGAAAAAAGATACAAATGAAATAAACAGTGCTTTATATTTTTCAGGCAAGTCTAACAGTATTCAGGTACAGAAGTTGAATTATCAAATGTGAAACAACAATGCATAGTCTTCACTGTATAAATTAAATCTTATAAGTCTGTGTTAAAGCTACAAAAGCATCAGGAATATTAAACTGCATTGAACCAATATGCTATCCATTATATTTACCTTCACCTAAGCCATAAGCAACCGTGTTTACAAGGATACTTGCAGAGACATGCATTTACAATAGAACCCATTATAATCAGCGCTGTCTACACTGGATGCGGTGCGGCATTACAAATCCCGTTGAATGTGAAATTAAAACGGCCAGCAGGTGGCAGCAAGTCACTGTTAATTAGTGAGTAATTGCGATTGAACCGAATCATTTAAACGGTTGATTCATTCAGGAACGAAACACTGGCAAGTTGCTCAGAGACGCAAAACAGTGCTGTGGCTATGTTTGGAATTATTTTTGTTGGCAAAATACCGCAAAAACAGTCAATAATAGTGTCTAAAATGTAAGTTAACTTGTTTGTTGAACTGTTGTAAAAAAATCAATACTAAATTTGTAATCATGGTAATTTTTTGGAGAAAAACGGCACTCTTCGTGTGAAATTGATTAACTATTTATATATTTTCTGTCCTCATGTCTTGAATTTGTGATCATTCTAAATGTATTTGAATAGACTGAATCATGCAGTGGAAGAACGCACTCTTAAGTGTCTAATTCTAACATTTGGTAATATTCCTCGCGATTCCTCGATTTATAAAAAATGTAATCTTGGCAAAACATTAAATTCTAATGAATCAAAATCAGAAAAATCGGCCAGCCCTACTGTTAGGAAAAGTGTTTTTAACATGTTTTGAGATGCATCTGGTGTTCTCTTCTCTCAGGCTGGTGGCAGCGTATGAACAGCATCAGAGACTCGTGACGGAGCAGGAGTCGCTGAAGAGGAAAGCAGAGAACGGGTGAGTTACCCCGATTCACTGACACTTCATTAAACTGCAGACAATCTGTGATTATTTCACGGCTCTCAGGAACAGCTGCAGGTTTCTGCGGTTCTTAACCCCTTAACGGCCATCCACACTTTTGAAAATTCACGAGAAAGCGCACTATACAAACTTAAATTATTATAATTCATGAACCTTTTGAATACAGACCTATGGTTGGTCTTTTTTTTAAAGAAGACAATTAGCAGAGTATTACAGAAGGGAAATCATTTAATAAATTGAAAGTATTAAATTATAGAAGTTTAAATTTACTGTAAAGAAAATATATTGTACCATTTTAATTTTATTTGATATAAAATACATATTTTTAAAAAATAGTTACAAATACAAAAATTGCTATCAAATTAAAGCCATATGTCTACATAAGTTGTGTTCCAAATTTGAAGTTGATATTAAAAAAATTGAGTACAAAATTGAGAGAATATCCTTCTGTAAAACGTACTCCAATAAATTTTTTTTTTTATAACTTTGAAAAATTATATATATATATATATATATATATATATATATATATATATATAGTGAAGAGCCGGACTCAAAGAGACAGCGGACAGACGACCAATCAGGAGCCTCGGGTCAGATGATGCAGGACACGCAGGCCAATCACGCCGGATACAACTACAACAACTGGTACCAGGTCAGTCCTGCCTCCGACTGCATTTACAGTCAAACTAGGGGTGTGTGATACGACGAATTTTGATCGTGGACGATAAAAATGTCTCCACGATCTGCTTTTGAAGAAATATCGTATCAGCGCACATTCAATCAGCTGCAGTTCTGGCGCCGCTTTATCAATATACTGTGATCACAGCTAATGTTAACTCAGCGGTAGAGTTGCTCTCACAGGACACTGCACTTATTCACAATCACAAAAGTGCATTATTTGCATCTGCTTTAAAGCCTTACAGGTTAAACGTTTCATTCACGCGCTGTTCTGACGTGCGCTCGATTTCTAAACTAAGTTATCTTTTGCGCTAATACTGTCAAAACACACAAGGTTTGCATGTAGACTCAGTTGGTTGTGTCTAAAATGAAAGTAAACAGTTGAGAGAGAAACGGATGCGTGTCTGTATATTACATGCGTGCAGCTTTCCTTGAACGTTAATAAAACGCAGAGAAAAATCACTCGCTGTTCTTGACTGAAAAACTTTTAATACAGTTGCTTTAATAGGAATCAGTCTATATAGTGTTTTATTTTTAACTTGAAAATAAAACACTGTTTGTTGTATTTGTGTATTATGTGTTTGTAATGCGTGTCCATGTTCTAATTTTTTAATAACAGATAAAATAATGACAAAGATTTGTATCTTCTCCCACTTTGGCCTGAATATCAGCCATTCTTAATGTTTTATTACCTTGAAAGGCTTTGTCTTTATAATAGGGAAAGTAGTTTGGCTGTAATGCTCAGACAGCTCGCAAAATAGTAAAACCAACACGACAAAGAATCGTGATTTTAAAATCGTGATATTAAAAAAACAATAGTGATATATTTTTGCCATATCGCCCTCCCCTAAGTCAAATGGAAATTCAGACACCTTCAACATTTCTCACATTATATCACAGTTTATTGGTTATAGTTTAGAAGATGGTACTAAAATATGAGAAGAACTCAGAGTCAGAACAAACTCATCTTGATAATCTCAGATAACTTTGATAGAAAGGTATGTAATGAATTCGGTTGAATAGCTGTCAGCTGTTACATTTAAGAACACAATGAGATAAACCCCATTTAGCTCAACTAATTACCAAGCAGTGCTTCATTCTGTTCAGTCTGTGGTGTAGAAAGATCACATTAGCAATTAAAGAAAAACACTTCAGAAACACATGCTCAGCTCAAAGTGTCTGAATTATTACTGCTCCCGAAGTTTGCTGGAAGTCCACTGTATGAAGAGTTTTTGGGTGTAATATGTCACTTTATTTAGCTCTCCTCACGTACATAAAGACTGATGAAAAGAGGAGAAAACCGTCTTAAACCAGCACTAACATATATTAAACTCATGACCACTTTTACTAGAATTCATCATGTTTTATTGCAGGCTTGTTTATTGTGTAAAATGTAGTCTTAACGTGTTGTAGAATATCTACAACTACAACTAACTAAGTAATTGTTAACTATGATGTTACTTTATTGCAACTTTGCATAGATGATAGCACAAAACAGCATTTCACAAAAATAAATATGAGCAAACAAACAGATAAATAAAGCATGACCCCTGATTTTTGATTAGTAATATGCATTGCTAAGAACTTCATTTGAACAACTTTTAAGATGATTTTCTCAATATTTAGATTTTTTTGCACCCTCAGATTCCAGATTTTCAAATATTGTGCGATCCTAACAAACCATACATCAATGCAAAGCTTATTTATTGAGCTTTCAGATGATGCATACATCTCAATTTCACAAAATTGACTCTTATGACTGGTTTGTGCTCCGAGGTCTCTCATGTGACTGTGTTTTCTGTGTTCAGCAGTATAACTCGTGGGGCGGTCAGAGCTCCTGGGGTCAGTACGGTCAGTATAACCAGTACTACCCACCTCCTCCAACATAACAGACTGCGCCAGCCGTGTCTACTGCTTCAGCTTCAGCATTCATCCCGTCTCCAATCACACGCGGTGTGCTTTCTGTGTTTGGCACGAGCTCTTTTCCCTCTAAGTGCAAGTGAGTTTTTAATGAGCAGAGTTGGTTTAGTGCTTCTGGAGGTTTAGTTGTGTTCGCGGACAGATTGACATTCGTCTGGAAGACTTGATCCTCATCTCCGCTCCTGCGTGTGATCCTGTTTTCAGAGAGAACCGTGAAACATGAAGACCTTTTTTATTTTGACTTGGTTTCATAATAAAGAGATTGACATCCCACACGTCTTCAAGTGCCTGATTTACTTCAGTTATCTAATAGCTTACTGTTATATAATGCTGTCTGTAGTACACCGTTGCAGTTTGTCTAAAAAACATCAAGTCAATGCAATTCGACAGCATTTTGAAAGCTGAATCTGGGTTAAGTTTGAGAATAAAAGCTATGCGGTGATCAGAAAGGTTTGTAATAATGGGCTTCAGATCCTCTGTAATCACTCAAATTTTAAAACGAATCAGATTTGAAGTAATTTGAGAGAAGTTGGTAACAGAGTAATGAGCCCCAAACCTGCAGAAATCAATGTAACGATAGAAAAAATATAGGAAGGAATAAATGACTTGATAAAAGCCTCTCAATATATCAAAGAAAAAGGAACGAATTCCTCTGAAATGATATGAACAATTGTTAGAAAGAGTGACAGAGTTCAAATGTCTTGGATTAATCTTTGATGAAAAATTTACTTGGGAGAGACATATTAAGAAAATTGAAAACAAATGCAAAGGAGGAATAAATTGCATGACTTCAATAGCTATGAATGGTGAGCAAGGAAAGGTGCAGTGTTGCATGTATACCAAGCCTTAGTACGGTCTAGTGTAGACTGAGTGTGCAGTGCAGAATTAAAGAAACTGGACAACATACAGTCCAGAGCACTTGAGTCTGCCGTGGAGTAGGGGTCTGCGATAATATCGTAATTGTTGTTTTAAAGATGTGTGATTTGACATTATCGAGTATTTTGCAAAAACCATTCAAAACATCCCTACAGAGTGCACGCGTACATTACATGAAGTCTAGACTAGTGCGCGTGCGCATTTAGTGTGTGTTCTTTCACTGCGTGATTCAGGCTATTAAAATGCATTTAGAATGATCACAAATTCAAGACATGACGGCAGAAAATTTATATATTTATACCACTTCATATAGTTATTCAATTTCACACGAAGAGACGTTTTTCTCCAAAAATTACCATGATTACAAATGTGACATTGAATTCAATAAACAAATGAAGAAGAAGTCTGTCCCAACATGCCATTAAATGCAGTATTCCTGAACCGTTGTTGAAAGAGATCGTTGGAGGCCCGGGAAAAAGCATACTAATAGTTATGAAATCAATGTGTTTATGAGAGAACATTTTCAGTCTTTTATACAGATGGCTCTAAAGACCCAGTCGAACAGAAAGTGGGCATCGGAGTGAACATTCCCAGATTTAAGACGGAAATAAGCTGTCCGTATATAGTACAGAATGAACTGCTGTAACAGTAGGACTGCAGAGGGTAGAACAGATCAGATTCTTCATCAGCTCTTAAAGTAGATTGTGGACAAAAACTGATAGAGAAGAGCTGCTAGTAGAAGTGTATGCATTACTGTACAGACTGAACATAGAGGATATTCAAGATATCCAGTAGGTGGCGGTAGTGCTGCTAAGGAGTGAATATAAATATAAACGTATCAAATTGTCGTTATCTTAAAGCAGCGTTTTAGTTTTGAGGGGTCTTTGTCATCGTCAGTGTTGATTCTCGTTACAGTAAATGTTACAGTTGACATTTGGAATTGTTGCATTCGTCATGTTACCATAATTGTTACAATTAACATTTAAAATGGTTACAGATAACGTTTAAAATGTTGCATGCATTTGACGTTTATAATAGTTAAATACTTAAAAGTTTATCATGTTAAATTTGAAATTGTTGTATGTAACGTTTAAAAATTGTTTAACGTTTACAACTTTTGTTTTTAACTTAAAATTATTGCATTTTACATTTAAAAATTGTTCATTTTAACTCTAAAAAAAAATTGCGTTTGGCTTTTAGAAATAAAAAAAATGTGTTTTTAACTTAAACAAATTGTTGCGTTTAACATTTTTTAAATTGTTACTTAGTTTAAAGATTAAATAGTTTTTTACCTTAAAACAATTATTAAAAGTTAAAAAGCAACACTTTTTAGTTTTAACTTTTAAAAAATTTTTCCTTTTTAACTTTACAAATTTAGTTTTTAGCCTTAAAAAAAACGTTGTTTAACACTTTAAAAAACGGTTGCTTAGTTTTAAGTTTAAATAGTTTTTGTTTAACATTTAGAAATGGTTGCTTTCACCTTTTTAAAATTTGTTGATTTTTAACTTTTAAAAAATTTGGTTTTAACTTTAAAGAAAAAAATAGTTTAACATTTAAAAAGTTGTTGCTTTGAACTTTAAAAATTGTTTTTAGCTTTAAAAATGTTTAGCATTTGAAAAACTTGCTTTTAACTTAAAAAAAAAAAAGACAAAAGTTGTTAAACATTTAAAAATGTTTGCTTTCAACTTAAAATCGTTTAACATTTGAAAATGTTACAAGTAACTTTTAAAGGGTTCCAAATGATGTTTAAGGTTGTCCCCAGTAGCCCTGTTGTGTTCTGCATGGCTGCAGTGAGAGTGTGTTTGTGAGAATGTACTGATCTGGTGTTGGTTTGTGTTCAGCTCATCATGCAGCTGTTCCTGCGCGCTCAGACTCTGCACACGCTCCATGTGTCCGCTCACGAGAGCGTCCGCGAGCTGAAGGTGAGCCTCTCGCCTCTCCTCTCCTCGCCGCTCCTCTCTTCTCCTCTCCTCCCCTCGCCGCTCCTCTCCTCTACTCTCCTCGCTGCTCCTCTCTTTGCCGCTCCTCTCCTCTACTCTCCTCGCCGCTCCTCCCCTCTCCTCACCTCACCTCACCGCTCCTCCCCTCTCCTCTCTTTGCCTCTCCTCACCTCACCGCTCCTCCCCTCTCCTCACCTCACCTCACCGCTCCTCCCCTCTCCTCTCTTTGCCTCTCCTCACCTCACCGCTCCTCCCCTCTCCTCACCTCACCTCACCGCTCCTCCCCTCTCCTCTCTTTTCCTCTCCTCTCCTCACCGCTCCTCCCCTCTCCTC